AGCTTCGGCAAAAGACAAATGCAGTCTGGAACAGACTCCTTCCATATATTTGCACCAGGTTAATCTTGGCAGTCCCCTGGGCCTTCTGCCGGTCGGATTAGCAAGGAACGGTTGCTCAGCCTTCCTCTCTGGAGGCATTCGCAACACATGCCAAAGCCATCGCAGCTGCGACTTCTCAATATGGAGAAGCAAAGGCTGTATACCAAGGCTCTTTCGGCTGTCACTATGACGGACCACGTCTAGACGCGTAAGGCGAGCGACTCGTCTAAGAAAGCCCATCTCAGCATTTTGTACCCGGGTTCGAAGTTTTTCATTGATGGTCCACGACTCATGGCCGTCGGTAAGCATGGGGACAAAAATTGACTTGAACACCGAAAGCTTAGTTTTTAGACTGAGCTCTGCTTTAGTCACAATCGGTCGGGCTGGTTCACGCAGAACGCCACTGGCTACTCCTATTCGCCGGTCGATTTCTTCCTCCAATTTTCCATCACTAGTAAATACAATTCCGAGGTACTCTAACTTCTCTACCTGCTCCACTGCCTCTCCGTTAATCTGAAGAGAGCAACGGGCAGAAAAACGAGAAAGCACTAGGCTTTTCCTTTTAGATGCGTTCACATGCATGCCGGCGACGTCGCACTCAGCTGTGAACCTTTTCAGAAAGCGCGGTATATCAGTTTCAGGAGGTGCCCATAAAACACGGTCATCTGCAAACAGCAACCTTCTCGTCTCCACATCTCCTACAGAGATACACTCATCGCCTTGACTGCTCCTGACAATTCTACCTATGTGCAACAGAATCAAAAGACGGGACAACCTGCAGCGTTGGCGATATCCAGTTCCAACGTTGCAAGGCTTAGACAACACGCAGCACCTGCTATCAGAATAAAGTGATTGGATGGCCCTTAGCAACTGGCCGTCTATCCCGTATGCTCGAAGGCATGACAAGAAACTGTTGCATGGGATCCGATTGCAGGTTTTTCTAGGTCAAGAAAACATGTACACCCGACTGGCGTACTCCCACGATTCTCAACAGTTTGGTTCAGGGCAAATATGCGGCCAGAACTGCTTTGACCGGGCTGGAAGCCACACGGCTCTTTGTGTATTTTAGAAACTGTTATTCCGCAACATCTTCGTTGTAGCACTTTTGCGCAGACTATCTGGGAGGCTGAATAACACAACGCTCGTATAACTGGAGCACTGCCTCTGGTCTCCCTTCCTGAACAAGGGTAAAATAACTAATGTTCTCCAATCCTCTGGTGTCTTCCCCAGAGTCTCTGCAGTTTTAGAGGCACGTATTAGTCAGTAGTATATGCCTTGTTCCCCTAATGCGTTGAGCATTTCAAGGTGGATTACATCCATTTCAGCCGCTTTTCCATTTTCAAACTTTTCACAGTTTCTGCAGTTTCATTTACATAGCTAATAATATCCTTCCCTGTTGGTTCATAAGCGAGCATTTCTACGGCTGCTCGGCGTAAACGAGTCCCTCAAAATACGCTCTCGATCGCTGACGAATGCCATCATCCTTGGTAACAGAGTGTCTAGACCTGACCTTTAAGACTCTGAGACTGCCCTTCTTTTCACCTCGGAGCCGGCGGATGGTCTGCCAGAATTCTTAGTTTACCGTGTAGAAATTCGACTCCAACAGCTCACCGAATCTCTCTCGGCAATCAGTGGTCTCTCGCCACTGCCTCGGTTGCCGCCTTTCGTGCCTCGACATATAGCACGTGAGTAGAAGGATCTCTGTTTCCGAGCCATTTCTTGAACGCTGCCTTCTCTTTAACTGCCAGTTGTACTTCGTCATATAACGTTTCCCATTTGATGCCCTGGTTATATCCGTCACCAGATTCTCGTATGTTACTACATTTATTAGAGCGTATCGTGCTAACAACAAAGTGATGACCGGCTGATAGTTCTGCGCCTCTCTTCGTTCGAACATCCATTAAAAAGCGTTTTAAGTCAGACGATACGATTATCAAATCAATCATCGATTCCGTACCAGGTGTACTGGTGCACTCTTCGATGCTCGAAGAGGGTGATCATAACGGACGGTCCGTTGTTTGCAGTAACAACTTCATGCC